GCCTAGGGCTGGGTAGTTCATTGAAAATTTATCAGAACCGACATTCAGAACCTCTAATCGACATAATCTTGCACATGTCGTTTTTTTTTTATTCTGTTAATACTTCAAAAAAAATCTGTTACTATTTTCCCCAGTGTGTGTTCATGTACCTTAAACACATAGTACCGCCCCGTCCAGTCTGCAACATGGAGGAAAACTCAAACACAGAGTCAACTCAGCACCTCTAGCAGCTTGTACAAAAGAAAAATGCCGCGTCCGTCATTTGGACACACTGTGGCTTTAGTGAAGAGGACACCGAACAAACAGAGGTCAAATGTAAACACTGCAGAACCAAAGGTATTACCACCAGTCAGTTTCAAAACTAGCGATATTTAAAATGCAGTGGAACCCGCTTATAGTGGTCATGGTTATGGTGATCAACCGCTTATAAGGATCAAAAAGCTTGGGACAGAATCATTCCTGTATAAATACTGTTTAAATAATTTGCTTATAGTAATCAAGTAGTCCGCTTAGTGTTAATTTTGGGTCTTTTTAAACCTGACAACATATGGAAAAATTAAATGAAATATGTGGGTAAATAAAAACAAAATAATCGTTTGCTAATCATAATCGAGATAAAATGTTGAATTAATCGTTGTATTGATTTGCGGCCATATTACCCAGCCCTAACTGAGGCTCACTGTGTCTGAGGCTCACTGTGTCTGAGGCTCACTGTGTCTGAGGCTCACTGTGTCTGAGGCTCACTGTGTCTGATATACACATGCCAGTAACAGGAGTGAGGAAAACCTGCTCGTCTCGCTTCACCCCTGGACGACCAGGGAGCATCACAGCTCCTGTCGCTCTCTGCACAGATGCCTCGACAAGGTTTCCGTGATGCACCATCATAGCCGCAAAGCCAGAGCGTCTGCCTGCATCTGGGCTTGTAAAGATCTGCTGTCGCTGTGAAGTCCCTGGGGTTCCCCGGTGACCAGTTTAACGTGTCCGCCCAGTTACCAAAGGCACGGTTTTGATAGATGGACGGTCAGGTAATGTCGTCCTCATCAAACTGCTGTGCCCTTTACTCTGAAACAAAGCCTGAGGCAGGATTATGATTATAATAGTCGGTCAAAGTATTAAGTCGCAAAATATTAATGGAACCTGAATCTCACCCGCGTGTCCTTGGCTCTGTTTCGTGTGGCTGCCGCGGTTGGGTGTGGGACTTGTCAGCAAGCCACTCCAGCTGCGATGATGCAGTCGAGATCGACTTTGGGACCCTAATGTCTGTCCTGACAACCTGATGTTAAAATGGTGGGGAATGCTGGTCAGGCACTTCATGCTGAGGTGTGTTTCATGTGCATCCGTAACGCTGACAAGCTTTGATTTTAGTGACCGAAGACTTTTAAAGGGCTCATTTCCTCACCAATGACGGGGGGGCCGGAATTAGAACCCAGATTGGGCAACTTGGGTCCATGTCACTTCCTGTCGGCCTCACCCCCGCCATTGATTGGCTGGCGGCATCTCCCACGGCGCTCGTCCCTCTGCTGGCCAGGCATCTATATCGCGCCAGGTGGCACCGGGAACCCAGAGCGGTGGTGGCGAGGCACCGATGCGGACGGTGAACCTGAACGATTCAGCCCGACACTCTGCTTGCTCCTCACGCTCCCGTCTTTCCGTGTTCGGATGGCAAGACCCAGCAGGGGGGGGGGTTGTACATTATCGCCTGCTAGGCGCCCAGCTGGGGGCACCAGGTGTGCCCAGAAGAGGCTTGTTAGAGCCGGGTATTTAGCAAGAATGAGCCACCTGTGCCCCTGCTTTAAAGCACCTGAGGGGCATTTAAGGGGCGTGACGCTGCCTAATGCCACCCTTTACACAGTGGGGCCCCCCGCCTGTGGTACCCATGCTCCCCCACCCCCTCAAAAGAAGTCGTATCACTGGTGGTTAGAGAGAGCTAAACGTGTGTTTGGAATGAGAGAGCCGCCGTCCAGCTTTCCCAGCGCACTAACCTCAGGGCCGTTAAAAGGCAGAATAGACTTTGTTCCAGAAACTTTCCCCTGTTGAAAATAAAATCAATTCAGCACTTAAATTTCAGACAGCAGCCGATGTAATATGTTAGAGTACATCAAACTGTTAACGTTAACGATTTGGGTGAAATTTTACCCGGGTATAATAAATTCCTGCATCAGACGGTTTATTTTATTGTCTGTGTGTAGAAGCATGTCCTCACATGGCCCTGTGTGTGTTTTCATCATGATACCCCCCATCTCCCCCCCGCTCTCTCTCGCTCTCTCTCTCAGTCCCTTAATCAGAGCACTCTGGGGATTTTGCTAGCCTGCTCACGCATGATCCAACACTATGGTGTTACAGGTGCAGGTTTTAAAACACAAAGTGAAAAATATAAACCTGCGAGTTTTGACATTTCACATGGGTATATATCCCACTCGCCAGCAGAAATATGAAACCAACTACAGAAAGAAGAGACTGAGCTCAGACACCCCCCTCTCTCCCACTCCCATGCGCTCGGACAAACCCCCCTCTCTGACACGCCCCTTCCTTGTGCTCAGACACACCCCCCTCTCTGACACGCCCCTTCCTTGTGCTCAGACACACCCCCCTCTCTGACACGCCCCTTCCTTGTGCTCAGACACACCCCTGATGCTTATGCCTGCTTGGCGAGACAGCGTGTGAGGCAGACCCAGAACAGGCTGGTACTGTCTCTCTCTGTTAGGGTACCAAGGTGTGTGTCTGCAGTTCTCTAAGATCACCACTGTCCCCACAAGCCTTGGCGATGCGTGAGGTGTGAGGGGAGAACCAGTTGGCCCACACAGATGACGTTGCATTTAGGTGTGGGAAGCTGGACCCCCCGGCAACTACCTGAATGGAACACTCAGATGGATGTGCTCTGATGAGGTTGCCACGGCGACCCCAGTCCTGTAAAGGCAGCGTGTCGATTGGCCAGGCCTGTCGTTACCCCAATGACCTCCTGCAGCACAGTGGTCAGCCAGACTGACTCACCGAGCCCCCCCAGCTGCAGTCCTGCTGCCCTCCAATCATAGTCACTTAGTCACGAAGGGACTAGCGAAGACCAGCGAGGGGTGGGGCCATCGACATGAATAAACTGCCCACAGCCACACTGTGAGTGTCACATGGGGTGGCAGAGATATGTCATGCGAGGCATATGGCAGCAGGTGGCACCCAGGCGTTCTCAGAAATAGATGATGGGCATTCCAAACGTGGGCTGTGGCGCTATGCCCGCTGTGCCAGCCGCCCACCGACACCCACCTCCCATCTGTGGGCCATGTAGTTAAAGCGTGACAGCTGTTCAAAAACAGCCCCGGATATCCTGGCCGCCTCTCCGCCATACCGCCTAGGGGGAGTAGGGGTGAGATCACAGCGAGGCGATTTAGACCCTCGCAGGAGGTCTCAGACATGCTGGGGGCCCTGGGTTCGGATGGTTCTCAGCGGCCTGGGGTTTGGGCCCCGCTCTGAGCCAGTGATGCCAGCTGGTGGGCCCTCTCGCCTCGGAGGCGATGTAAGGGGCCCCGGGCTCAGCGCACATGTCCTGCTTCACAAAAAAATGTTTTTGGGGTTTGGCTGTGGCAGCCCTTGACTGTCTACTGATTTGTCCTGCACCATGGGGACCGGCCTTGTGTGTGTGTGTTTGTGTGTGTGTGTGTGTGTGTGTGTGTGTAGAACTGAAACAGTTCCCAGATAAAGTCAGAAACATCACAGCATCCAATCAGTTCTTGAGTGTTCTGGATAAACAACTTTGGTGCTGAGTCTATAATCATGCACTCCCAGTCTGGACCAGCAGGTGTCATGGGGACTGTGAGCCGGAAGGTGAGTGGGTCAAATCCCCAGAGGTCCTGCTGTTGGCCCTGAGCGCGGTGCTGTCATTGAGCGCTTTGTTAGTCGGTCAGGGTTACCGGCGTCCCCTGAGCGCCTCGTTAATAAGAGCTCAGGCCTGTCAGGGTCTTTACTGGGTTTTTGGGAATGCTGCGGCGTAAATCTGGCAGGCAGCCCTGATTGGATGTGCGGAGGCATCTGCCTTCCAAACCAGAGTGTCGCCAAGGGACCCCACTGAGCCGGGCAGGGGAGGGGCACGGCCGGGGTAATATGCAGGGTACAGAGGCCCTGCCTTTATGATGGGGGCTTTCCGTTCAGGATTCAGGACCTGATCAATACTGAGGCTCTAAAACACGCTCGTGTTAAGGCAGGTTAAGTGATTCAGACTTGAGGGTTATGGCTCCGGTTCTAACTCAGTTATGAGCATCACTGCTTAATCGTGTCTCTAGCAGCGGTGACAGCCAGGGTTCAGAGGTCACAACCTCTATTTTTGCGCCTCTCGTGGTTCTGTGAGCCATTCAAAAGGGAATCGACCGGACATTATATGGCCATCAGTATCCGTGCCCCACCTGGGACCGGGGGGAGGGAGTTGCTGGGGGCGGGTGGCTGGCAGACCTGACATCGCCTGACATCTGCTGCAGGTTTGACATGTTTGCTGGCCCTCTGCCGGCCATGCGAGCAGCTTTGCAGGGGGCTCTGTAAGCACTGTGCTGCTTTGACGCCATTGACTCCCATTAGAGGCATAGTCAGGGCGGCGCTCCTGGGTGTGACTGCCTCGGCCGTTCAGCCGTCGCTCTTCCCCTGTGAGGTTGCCACCCCCGCGTGCCTTTGGTAGGTGATTTCCAAGGCAACACCAAGGAAGGAGACTCCGTCTGGAGTGAACATCTTGTAGGAACCTTAAGGATGGTTCATACTTCTCCACAAGAGTAACACTCGAGTATCTACTCTGCGTATGCGACACGGAAACGTTCATAGTTCTCTGGTGAAGCCGCGTACTTTGCACTGTTTTATGAATTCAGAGAGCCCGCTCTCAGGGTTGGCTAAGAATCCTGGAAGTGCTGATCCAAGTATTTCCAAAAGAGGCAGGTTTTTAGTCGTCGTTTGAAGGCACCCAGTGACTTAGCTTCTAGGGGAAGTTCATTCCACCACATGGGTGCCAAAACAGAGGAGAGTCTAGGTGCATGTCTTCCTTTTTTTATTATTCTTTTTTTTAGGGCTGTAGTTTGAGTGTTTTATTGATGACAATAGACAGTACATCAAATTGGCATCTTTCTTATACTATAATTTGTTAAACTGCTCTTTGATGTGTACAAAACTTCTAAGGATAATCATTCCAGAAAAATCAATATCTTTCTAGCTAACTGCAAGACTATGAATAATTACATATTTCACATTAATTATACAATTTAAGAAAAGCAGGATAAGTATACTAATAACAAGATCAAAACTTCTAACGAGCTATTTAACTAGAAAAACTGTAGACATTCTCTCTAAATACCTTAACGATTAAAAAAAAGAAATAAAACGGTTTTCGATCAGTGCCCGGTACATTTCATCTGGGGTGCCCTCGAAGAACTTCCCGCAGCCCGCAACAGACGGCGTGTCCCCTGTGAAGACGGACTCCTGTGCCTGGTGACGTAGTAGCAGATGTTTCCGGAGGTGTGGCGTGGAGTTAAGAAGCAGCGCTGCGTGGACAGAAATGCAGCAGGCGTTAGTCCACATAGGCGCACAATGACATCAAACGCGTGATAAACGTTGACTGGACATGCCCACTAGTACGCGCCCAGAGAAGTATGAACCAGCCTTTAGAAAGCGTGAGGGGGCCTCTGCAGAAGCCGGGGCTTGCTTCCTAGCCGGGGGAGGTGACTGGTGGCATGTATTACTGTGTGGGGAGCTCCGATTGGTACTGTGTGTCTGTCCGTCAGACTCTGAGCCTTGGGAGAGTGTGTTGTGAGGCCGCAGGAAGCCCAGCTAAATTCTGCTCTAACCCCCCCCCCCCCCCCCCCCCCCCCCACACACACACACACACACACACACCCATATGCCCAAAGCTGTTCATTTCAGAGCAGTGTGACCCTAACTACTCTCTTGGTTTCCAAAAAAAGCCCTGAAAATCATTTCCCACACCTGGGCTAACACTTCCGTCCAGCTTGGGGCCTCGAGGTCCATTTAACCCTCAGTGTAATGACCGGCTTCTCGCTCCCACCAAAGGGGGCGTCGCTGAGCTCCTCGTCCACCTAAACTTAGGAAAGTGTATTTAAAGTTGGCCTTTATCCCCTCTGACTGCGCACTGCAGTGCTGTGACTCCAGCTTCTCTGCCCTATGCTGACGGGGCGTGTTGGGGGGCAGGGGGGGACACATGACTTCTTTAAAGGTCCACTGCCATGGATCCTTCTGGGATTCTTGCTGGGGGTTGCTGTGAAGGTCCGGAATCATCTGAGGGAGGGGCGGGGTCACCATCCCTCTCCACGGCACGATTGAAACATAATTATTTCATGCCAGATTGTGTGCCCAGCAAAGGCCTGAATGGGCAGCGCGTTTAACTTTAATTAGGTGTGATTTATTCATACTGACCAGATCGCACATAGAAATTGGATCATCTGATTACAGCCAGGCGTGAAAATGACCTGATTAAACACTTCATGAAATCTGGGGGGGATAAAAGGGAGGCCAGGCTGGGAGGTGGGTGGCAGCGCAGTGGGAGATTATGCGATGTGGGCGATGGGGGGAGATATCAATGCTTCTCTAACAAACGCTCCCTTTGACCTGCCTGATCGTGGTCCCGAGGTCATGACAATGGCCCCGCAGCCCCGAGGTCATGACAATGGCCCCGCAGCCCCGAGGTCGTGACAATGGCCCCTCAGCCCCGAGGTCATGACAATGGCCCCGCAGCCCCGAGGTCATGACAATGGCCCCGCAGCCCCGAGGTCGTAACAATGGCCCTCTAACTGTGCTCTGCACCTTCCTCCCTCTGCCCACAGGTGTGACAGCGAATGAGAGCCTCGACCCACGGACCTACAGCTCTGCCAAAGTCTCTGGGCTCCAGCGCAGCCAGGAGCAGAGTAGTGACGCCCCCTACGGGCCCACCTTGCCCGGCTCCCCAGCCCCGACCGTCGCCTCGGCAGCTGCGCCCCCTGCAGTCCGGGCCGGCTCCCCAGCGCCGCTGCCCGTCAAAAAGGAGCCAGTGCCCCCAGGCCCCGCCCCTCCCCCACCAAAGGTCCAGCAACAGCCCTTGCCAGAGCTCCGGGCTCTGCCCCCCCAGCGCCACACCCCTCCTTTAGCCAGTCACACGGGGCGCCCCCTATCGCAGTACAGTCTTCACGCTCTCAGGTGAGACACCTTGCTCACTTCCTGCGTCCCCCAGCAGGTGGCGCTGTTTTTTCTCTCTGACCGCTATACCACTTTCTCTGTCCCCCCCACAGTCGCGCCGGAGGCAGTGTCAGTGGCGTGGGCCTCCCCAGGCAACACCCCCCCACCCCCCACCTCAGTGGGCTCGTGCCCCCGGTGCCCCCCCTGCCCCTATCCATCGCGGACCTGTCCACCTCGCATTATTCCCTGCGAGCGGCGGCCCATCGCCATCCGGCCATGTTCGCCACCCCCGCCACCCTGCCGCCACCACCCACTTTACCCGCCAACAGCCTCGGGCTTCCCGGACACCCTGCGGGAGCCGCTTACCCAGGTGGGGGCACCCTCGAGGCGTGAAGCATTCTGCACATTTCTCTTTCATAAAGGGGAGGCGGGGGGGTCAGTAGGTGTTAATGTGTGTTTTTAATACACACGCTCTTCACACACCTCGCCGCTGTAGCCCGCCATTACGTGTCAGAGAAATCCATTAATTGCTTTAAATCGATTTGCTTGTTTATTTAGCTGTCGTTATACAAATACTTTCCCAGCAAACTGAAGAAGAGGGGGGGGCTCCTGGCACGACACTCTCTGTAGCACACAGCCACTTTGGCTGGGCACCTTTTACGCATTACCCATGGATCTGCGCTCTGTGTGTGGCCAGCGGGCGCATTTACACCTCGCACCCCTCCCCCCCCCGCAGCGTAAAGTTGGCAGGGCCCTGGAGCCTGCCCTGTCCCGCGTTTGTGACGCCAATGCAGCTGAGACACCATTTTCAGTCTTCAGGCCAGAGCAGAATGTTCCCCGACCATGTTTTTTTCTCTAGTTCTTATGCACATATACACACTGCTTTTTTTGTCTCTGGGTGTGGTTTGTGGGCAGGTGTATCCCGGCTGTGATGTAAAGAAAGGTCTGAAACACTCACCGCCTTTACTGTTACTTTACTCGTCTTGACATGCATGTGTCAGATAATTCTGGTAATATTAATAACAGTGGAGGTTTGCGCACTAGTCAGGGCTGCGAAGCTTAAACATAACTGCCGCCTTTTTTAGCAAGAGCTCAGTGAAGGACAGTCAGCGAAGAGCCGATGTTTTCTGCTGAGATGACTCTTGGTATTCTTTCCTGTCTTTAGATACCAGCCTGTTGATATCATTCAACCAACCAATCATGTATTGCCAGCCTCATTCGGGGATTCTGATTGGCACTTTGTCACAGGCAACTCTCTTACCACCACCAATGAGTCCTCACGTAGAAAACCCTCACAGCATGAGCTGGAGAAACAGGGAATGCCAGGTGACTATTTTTTCTTCTTCTTTGTGCCCTTGTTGTGAAGACTGACTGGCCCCCGTGCCTCTTTGTGTCTCCCCCCCTTTTCTCCGCTCTCCTTTCTTGCAGAGCATGACCTCCTTCGGCAGGAGCTGAACAACCGCTTCCTGGTTCAAAGTTCAGAGCGGGGCCGGGGGCCCTCCGCCTCCCCGCTGGCCCCCGTGTCGCTCCTGAGGGCAGAGTTTCACCAACACCAGCACATGCACCAGCACCAACACACCCACCAGCACACCTTCACGCCCTACCCCGCCAGCCTGCCCCCCGCGGCCGTCATAGCACCGCCCACTGCACCCCCCATGGTGCGTACCCCAGCCAGAAATGTGAGGATAAGTAGAACCCACCCCTCCCCCCCGACCCCCACCCAACTCATAACATGCCCCTTCCGATCCACAGCCCCCCAAAGCCAAAAAACTTACGGTCCGCATCATTTGGGCCAGAGAATGATTGAGAGGAATCCCTAATGGCCTCAGTCTCCCCTGGCCAGAGAGGGACCAGGAAGGTGTCCGTCCCGGGGTCCGGATGCCTTCATATCCCAGTCACTGAAGCAGAACCCAATGGGCATTTCCTCAAGCTCACTGTACACCTGTGTCCTCTGTGTTTGTTAATGGGAAAGAGAACATTAAAACTTTATGGAGACCCGCAAGGTCCTGCTGGAGGGAACCTTAAACCTTATGGAGACTGTGAGGTCCATCTGAACGCAACCGTGAAGCCTTACAGAGCACGGAGACGAGGTCCAGCTAGATTAAGTGTTTGCTGTTACCCTCTGATTCAATCACTGGCATCATCATTGTTTGCCTATTTGAGTGAAAATTATATGCTAGAATTTTTCTTTAGGAGGCTATTGGATGTGAAATATTCAGTGACAGTCAGGTGATTGCAGTTGGAAATCTGCGTCTTGTGTTTTAAAGCTTGGTCTTTTGAAGCAGGGAAAGTGTCATTTTTCTTGAAAGACTGCCAATGGAAAGGTCCGGCTGTGCCCATTTCCGTGGTTTAGCCTCCGTCTAACCGTCGTAATTCCTGAACTTGTGAATTTCCTGGACCTGCTTTGCTGGCTTAACTAAGACTGTCAGTGATCCTCTCTGCTCCAGTGAAGAAGCGTTTTTCAAAATGAATGGTGAATCTGCTACCATCAGACGGCCGTAGATAAACAGAGGGGGCTGACCCTCCCCACCGCGATGTAAAATGGACGGGGCCGTTCCACCGCGGCGAGCCAGCCGGACCACATCACACAGCGTCGCCTGTCTCCGGGACAGAGGCCCAGAAGGTCTTGCAGACAGCCCATGTTTATGTCACGGAAACACGCAGCCGGCAGCTGAAAGCGCCGGTTGGGCCGCCGGGCCAGGGCACAAAGTCGCCCATTCATGCGGCGAGAGGCTCCAGCCTGCGGAGAGTTACCACCATACTGCTGACAGCTCAGCCAATTACACAGCATCTGCTCCTGGACGTCTGGCCTTAAACACACAGACATATAATCTCTTATTTTCCTCCTCCTCTTCACCAAAATAACAAACAGGAGCGCACCATCTTTCTAGCTGGTTCCTCCTCGCTCGCCCCAGAGGTCCCTGCTAACGAGCCCGCCTCCTTTCCGGAGCGGCAGGCTGGCAGTTTAAGTGGCATCCGTGTTCGCCGTGAGTCGGGTACCCCCGCGGTTTCCTCCATGAATCAGAGGAAATTTGCCCGCGGACATACAGGCCTTCGGGAAGAGAGAGCGATCCCTGACTGTCGGAGATCTCTGCGCGACTTCCTGTAAATCCCCCAGTACACCTTCCCTGGCCTTTTGGTTTCCAGCCTTATTGGAACGGGGGCGATGAAGCCTTTCTGCTGACTACCTCTCTGACTGCCTTAATTAGCCCCGTCGTTGTTCCCCGTTCTTAAATACTCCCTCTCACGACACAGTCTGCCGTATCACGAAACCTCCACCCATACTGGCATTCCTGCTCCTCTGCATTAAAACATCGAAACACAGCCCCCCCCCGTCCCCCCCTCCCTAGAGTGCAGAGTGGCACAGTCCTCGATACATTCACCTACCAGCTTATACAACATCAGGGCTGGTTGCAGTGCGCGCTGAGCGTATGGCCGAGGTCTGACGGCCGCCTGGCGCCGCACAGACTGGCTGGGGGCACGCGGCACACCCCCACCTTACGAATGCCTGCTCATATTTGCCAGCTGATGTTATTTTAAACGTGTCCCGCTGGGTAATTTCTGTGCTGCTGAGTGCTGTGTGTGTTTGCATCGTGTTTTTGTTGGACTCCTTGTCGGACGTGTGTTGTGCTCTGTGATCTTTTTTCCTGCAGTGATGTGATCTCTCTTTTTCTCTCCTTTTCCTTTTTGTCTTTCAGTTCGACAAGTACACCCCCAAACTGGACAACCCCTTCCTGAGGCATTCCACTGTAAGTCTGCTTTGTATTCTGCATGTTAGCTGAGACCATACACTGCTTTTTGGAAGCGTGCAGTGCTGTGGTAAATACCCCCTCTTAGGCCTGTTTTTTTTTAACTCCCCCTGCAGTTTTTCCCCTCATATCCCCCCACGATGCCCGGTGTGGCCCCACTGCTTCCTCATTCTGGGCCCTTCAGCAGTCTGCAGGGGGCCTTCCAGCCCAAGGTAAACTGACTAGCTTCGTTTGTCTGTCTGTTTCTCTCTCTCTCTCTCTGTCTTTCTCTCTCTCACACCACACACTCACACACGTACCCAATACGCCATCGCTTGTGGGGAATCAGGTTAAAAAAGGCAACTTAAATTTAAAGGTATTTGAACATCCAGACCCAGTCAGCAGTCCTTCCTGGGTCGGTTTGTCTCGTGTGGGTCAGACACACTGACAGGAGCACACGGTTTGAGCTGTACGCCATCGAAGACAGCCCAGCCTGAGTTTTCGCTCCCCGCTTGCCTTCGTGGGTGAGCAGCCCACCCCCCCAGCACCCATAATGAGCTATGCAAATGGGGCCATAATCCGGCTGAGCCTGGGGGCCGCTGGGCCGTGACGATCTGTGGGTACCAGGCGTCCTAACGGCTCCCAGCCCGCTTAAGCCAGCGGAGAAAGGGCAGCCTGAACCAGCCAGCCTAAATCCACTGCAGCCCCCCCCCCCCCCCCCCCCCGCCCCCCCCCCCCCCCCCCCCCAGTGGGGCCCCCACACGGCTTTTACGGGCTCAGATCGCCGTCAGCCCGTGCTTGTCATGGCCCCGAAGCTCCTGGAACGGTCCGGTGAAATCGCTTGGTGTCTAAAGGCTGATGTCGGTTCAAGAATGAAAAACAGGGAGAAGGGGGAGACCACCCCCAACCCTACACACACACCCAGAAACAACATGTCCGGCAGGCAGAATACCTCCTGGGGGTAGTCCACACAGCCTGCAGCCCGTCGCTAAGCTGTCTGTGCTCTGTCTCCATGGCAACCTGTTTTGTCTATACCAACCCCACCCGCAGCCGGCCTTTGCCTGTTAGTAACATTCTCATTAAGATCCGTCCACTCGGGCCTCTCTGGGGAGACACAGAGTTCGTTATAGCCTTCGTTAGCACTTCCACCTTGTCTGTTGCTTCATTTCTGTCTTACCCATGTTTCCCCGCCATAGTTCAGCAGTCTGTCTTACTGTGACGCAGATACTCACCCCCACCCTGTCCCGCCCCCTCTCCAGGCCTCTAACCCCATTGACGTGGCCGCCCGCCCTGGGGCTGTCCCTCACACCCTCCTACAGAAGGACCCTCGGGTAGGAGGACCGCCGCCCACCGTTCCCCGTGCCATTCCCCGCAGCCACACGGACATTACAAAGCGTGGTTTGGGCCGGTTAACAGGAAGCTGTTAGCATGTCGCTTACCCACTATGCAAAAATCTTATTAAGTAAAACACAGTGAGGCGCTGGGGGCTGGGCTGCATAGATAGTGCCCATTTCGGATGTTAATGATGTCATGACTGCTGACCAGTGGGTGTGCTTTGTGTGTTTGTCCTGCAGGTGACGGATCCCTTCCGGACACCTGTCAGAGTAAGTCTCCTATCGTTTTGTTACTTTTTTTGTAGTTTTTGTGGGAGGGGGCGGTGGTTGGCCTGTGCTTTGAACTGAGTCTCACTCTGTTTCTTTTCCCAGAAGCCCGGGAAGTGGTGCGCCGTCCACGTCCAGATTGCCTGGCAGATCTACCATCATCAGCAGAAGATGAAGGTGAGGGGGCCCTGGATACAGCTGGGGTTAAGGTTGTCATAGTTAGCGTTAGCATTTTTTCCATTGAAATGAATGAGCGGTCCCCATAAGGATATGTTTACCCTACATGTGTGTGTGTGTGTATCCCAGCGCTCCCCAGAATGTCCTACAGTCCCTGAAGCGGCTGTGAGTTTTTCTCTGTAAGGACTCTGAAATATTCACCTCTCCATCTCTCCATGTCTGTGTCCTTCTCGCCTCTCTCAGCAAATGCAGATGGACTCCCACAAGATGGAGCTGAACGGGAAGCTGGACCTGTTCAGCCGCCCCCCAGGTCCTGGGGTGTTCCCTGGCTTCCCGTACCCCCACGACCTGGCTCGGCCACTCTTCTCCTCCACAGGTCAGATGCCCTCCCCCTTCTGCGTGTTTCCTGTGAGCCTGTACCGCAACTCAAACCCCTCATGCACCCAAGGCATCATGTCTCACATGCCATTTTATGCACCAGGCTGTCTCTGGGTGAATCTCAGCATGCGTACTCGTGTTCTCGTTTTACGTCACCTTCCATTGCCGAAGACCAGTTCCAATACTGAGAACAGAATTACAGAGAAAGGTAAAAATCCCCAGATGTTGGTCTTGTTCTGGCCCAAATATCAAGGATACACCGGTTGCATCCTTGCCGAATGAGACCAATCCCATGATTCATTGCATCCCAATTTCATTCTTGGAAGGCAAGTTAGCAAATACGGTCTTGCCAAGGCCACAAGTACGGTCTTTGGTTCTTGGTTTTGAAATTCACCCTATGTGAGAAAGACACTCACCTGAATGGATTTCCCAGCATCCTTTGCAGTATGTCTAGCGTCGCTCAATTAGCCGGTCGGCACGGGCATCCAGCTCGTGGTCGGGCCCTAATGGTCAGCTAAACTTATATATGAGTGTCCTCTACAGTGCCATTTCCTGCTATAGACCTCACAGTAACAGTTTAAAGGTCAACTCTGAAATGAATTCTTCTGGGGCTCTTATGGGTGATGCAGTACATGGGCTATAACTGATAGTATAACTGAACTATAACTTCCATTTCCACCTTCCTCATTTCCATTTACTCTGTTGGGTTATTAACACATAATTTAGAGAAATTCAATGAAGGCATTTATCAGAGAATCCTGGCGTTATCAAGAAGCCTGGGTGACCGCGTTTAGGCAGGGTCAGGATACTGAACCGTTGTGAAACCTGGGAAGTGCAGTGCAGTGCAGTGCAAGTGAAGAGATGCAGAAAGCTATTTGTTAGTCTGGTTCATCTGCGGGACACTGACCATGGGTGGGTGTCTCCCGGCAGGATCCGCCCATTCTGCAGCCTCCCCTTACGGCCCCTCCCCCCACCACAGTGGCTTCCTGCCCACCAGCCACCTGCCAGGTAAGTGTAAGTACCCCCACCTTCCCGTGTGCTTTTTTTTTTTTTTTTTTTGGCCTCTGTATTAATTACCTGCCTGTTCCTCCCCCAGTAATGGGCTCTACACTAAAAACTTGATGTGACCCCTCTTGCCCAGGGTTTGTCCCTGTGCTCAACTTCTCCTGGCCCCTAACTGTCAGGCTGTACGTTGAACATGCGAGCGCTTTCGCCACAGTCCCTGCTGACAGCGCTGAAAATGAGACCGTTTTTCAGCATTATCGGGGAGCAGAGTCGGCGGGCAGGCGCGGCGCCCTGCCGTCCTTTGTGCCTGACTCCCGGTCACGGAGGGAGAGGACGCATTTTTGAAACTCCCCTTGTGTGTAATTATTTGCCTCCTTGTGCTGCCTCTGGGCTAGTGCTAATGACCACTTTGGGCTCAAGGAGTCCATCTTTAGTCCCAGAGATGCCGTAAATGGAGGCTCTGTGACCTCAGGCTGGATATCCCAGTGGGTCACCACGTGGCCTCATTCTCATCCTGTGGCAATGCATTCTGGGAATGCCTCAGGTTCTGTTTTATGGCCCTCATGTGTCTGCGATGGCCGCCTGCTTTTTCATTTAAGTGTGTCGGTTTCATGGTGTAGCTCCAGGTCACCATCATGTGGGCTATGGGAGGACTGGGAGACCGGGCTGAGAACCTTAAGTGGGCTGGGTGGGGCTTGCTGATTGGGCACGCCCACAATGGGATTAACCTCAAAAGGATCTCTCTGACTTTCTTTGGAAAAAAAGTTGTGAACGTGACAATTAAGGGTCATGTCTCTGTCACCATTTGACAGCTGGGAGGGCCGCAGGGTCCCCGACGCCCTGAGGGTTTGGGGTTGGAGGTTGGACCCAATTGACCTTCACAAGCTGTCATCAGTAGCAAACAATGCCTCCCCAGTGAAATGTTCCAGAAAGGTGCAGATCATACCAGGGGTTTAAGAAGCTGTCAGACTGAGGGGTAGTCAGAGCCAGTGGTCCAGTGCCGCTACCCAGTGTACCAGCTGCAACCCCCCCCCCAAGCCCCCAAGCCTCACACGCTCATTCAGCAAATGGGATAAACCCTGCCCCAGTGGAGCTAGTGGCCAGCAGAGGACTTAATGGACGGCCCCCAGCGCCCCCCACGGCTAATCCCTGTTTGGCGTTTTGCAGATCCGTTCAGTCGCTCCAGTGCCTTTGGTGGCCTTGGCAACCTCTCAAGCAGTGCCTTCGGAGGACTGGGCAACCCCTCGCTCGGTAAGGCCGCCCTGCCCTCCCAGGAGCTAGGGGGGCAGGCGGGGGCTGAGGCATCCTCTTCCCTCGTCACTCTTGCCAGGGGGCGCTCTGCTTCCCGTTGGCCTCCCATCCCTGTAGTTTGCTTTTCACCTCGTCTTCTATGGGGCATCAGAGCAGTATTGCTGTTTGTGTAAACCCCCCCCAACCACCTAATGAGGCATTCCTCAGCCAGTGACATGCAGGTGGAGGGAAATAAAAGGCCCACTAGCATGGGGGGTTTTTTACTGGGGCTCTGCGGCCCTCCCTCCCCTGTGTGGGAGCAGCTCAGGGATTGTGGTGTTCCTCTCTGTGCCAGTTCCCAGCCGTGACCCCCCCCCCCCAAGTCCCCTGGTTTGATTCAGTCCACCCTGGCCTTTATGGGGACACTGTCCTTATTGCTGCTCTTGTGTTTTCTCCCATCCCCTGACCCCACCCCCCCCAGGGTCCAACAGCATGTTCGGTCACAAGGAAGGCACCGGTATACCCGGCTTTAGCAGCCCCCACCACGACACCTGGAACCGACTGCACCGCACCCCTCCTTCCTTCCCCACGCCCCCACAATGGCCCAAGGCAGGCGATGTGGAGCGAGGCACTGGCTCCGCCCACGACCGGGAGCGTGACCGGGAAAGAGACAGGGAGCGGGACAAGCGGGACTCATCCGTCGGAAAGGAAGAGAGAGATAAAGACAGGTGGGCAGAGCCTGACCCTAAACCCTAAACCCTAACCCTTAACCCTAAACCTTAAACCCTCACGGTCGTGTGACTCATTTCTGAGCGCCGAAACCTACCAGACCTGACATGGCTGACGGGGGGCTTCCTCACTCCCATGTCTATGTCATGTCCTCTGCAGGGAGTCTCTGGAGCGGAACCGCCATTCCAACCGGTCGTCTCCCGCCACCGCACCAGTCAGCTACCAGATCAGCAACCTGATCCGTGGCAGCAGCCAGAGCTCGGGAGAAGTGGTGCGCCATGCGGTGGCGGAACGTGAGAAGGAGGTGGCAGAGCGCCAGCGGGAGGCCGTCGTGACCCCTGACGTCAAGGTGAAGGAGAGCCGCTCGCCAGGCCGCGAGGTGCAGGAGCGCAGAGCCCCAGAGGACCCGTGCAGGCCTGCGCGACGCTCCCCCTCGCCATACTTGAAGGCCACAGCCACGGAGCCAGTGGCGAAGGGCCCCGGGGCCCTCTCCAGGGAGATGGAGCGCAAGGAGACACCGGCCGGGGACACGGGGCCCCTGCGGGTTCGAAATGACATGAAGATCAAAGAGGAGCGCAAGGAGGAGCAGGACGTGCTGGTGGTGGGCTCTGAGCCGGCGACGCAGCCCCCTGCCGTACCCCTGCCTCCGCCTCTGGGCCCCCACCACCACCACCCAGCCCACCCTTCGCTGGTGCAGCAGCAGCCTTTGCCGCCACAGGCCCCCTCCCGCTGTGCGGAGCTCCCAGCGGCAGCTGCACTTCACGGCGTCCCCCTCCCCCACTCGCTGCCCCTACCGGTGAGTGCCATGCACCAGATGGGCGGCCTGGGCATGCTGGAGCGCTCACGAGTAGCCCCCTTCGTGGGTGTCAGCCCCTTGGCAGGGACCCGCGAGCGCCTGCCCCACCCCGCCTTCCCCTGGGACCCCCTGGCTTACCGCAGCCTGGACCTACAGCGCCGCGTTGACCTGCAGCTGCGGGCTGAGCCGGGGCCCCGTTTCGGCCCATATGATGCTGAGCGGGCGTACCGCGATCGCGAGCCGCTGGACTACGCCCACCATGAGCTGCTGGAGGTGCGGCGCGAGCATGAGCGCCTCCGGCAGGCCGAGGAACGGGAACGGCTGCACCTGCGTGAGGAGCTGGATCGTGCCCGGCTGCACCAGCTGCACCAGTCACCCATGGAGGGCCACCTGCCCCACATGCCGCCCTTCGTGTCCCACCTGGGGAGCCTGCACTACCCCCGGCTCAGCCCGTCCACGGGGCACGCCGGCCTCCTGAATCGGACGCCCCCCACCGCCGCGCTGAGCGCCCCCCCTCCGCTGGTGCCCGCTGGCGCAGGCCGCCCCACCTCCCCGAGAAGGACTACGCCCCTTACAAGTCAAGACCCCCGAGACTACTCCCCCACGCGAAATCCCAAAGAGGTGGAGGCGCGGTAGCTGCCTCTCCCCCACGGACGCAAACCCTCCCTCTCCCTCTGTTACGGCTTCTGACGACGGCGTTTCCCTACAGGCGGCGTACCCTTGGTGGGCCCTGCCCCGCCCCTAAAGCACATGACAGTGTTGATGTCGTAGATGTTGTCCCTCTTGCTGTTGTTTTTGTCGTTGTTGTTGTTCTACGAAACAGGGGAGCTGGATGGCCTGGAAGGAGACGGACCACAGATCGGTGTGTCAGAGTCTTTGGCCACTTAAATTTTAATATTTATATATTAATCGCCGCTCCGTCCCCCACCTCTCACATGCATTGAGAGGTTGAAGTCTGTACATTTCCAGTCAATTTCTTCCCATGTATAGAAGTTGTTTGTTAATTTTATTTTTTGGCGGTATTCTCTCATTTCTAATTTTATTCCTCAAAAGTTTATTTATCCCATTTTCGCTGTGAGCTTTGTAAGGCCTGCGGTACTTAGGGGATTTTAATTGAGAATTTTGGCATCTTATTTTACCATATTTGGTACTTGGAAATACTTAAACGACAATGTACAAAGTTACATTTTTGTTTCGCCCTGATATGATATGCAGACAGATATGTATGAAATGGCCTCCTGTTTTTGATTTCTGTAAAGAAAATAAATGTAAATATCTTGTTGATATTCCTTGGGACAAATATACAATGTAAATTTATTAGGCTTTTTAAATGTTTCTAGAAAAAATAAAACAAAAAAAAAAAACCTGAAATGGAACCAACTTCCCATTTGAAACCATGGTTACGGACAGAAGGCTGGGACGGCAAGCGGCCGACATATCCGTGATCTATGCAAGGGCACTGGGAGACCCTGATGGTGGAGCGGCCGGGATTTCCACGTGCCGTCTTTCCCCCAGATAGACGGAATTACATCGCTTTTTTATTTAAAAGAGGCAAGACTGGGGATGAATGGTGAATCACACCAGGGGATGGTCTGAAGAGGAACAGAACCTGAACTGTCTGTCCGCCCTGTGCCACTGTTGGTGTTTTTCTTAGAATCTTGTACACAGAAAAAGTAGAGTTTTAGGCGGGGGGAAAAAAGAAAATTCATGGTTTAAAGAAGTATTAAATAAAAGTTCAAATCTAATATCTCCAGAATGTTGGGTGTGTATATGGTCACATATTTTGAATCTGTCCGCTGTTTTATTTTGACCATAGTGGCTGCACAATATTGGATAAATTTCAAATATCATTTCTTCTATATATTGTAATATTTATACATCAAAAAAGAACTGAAAATATCCCCAAAATATTCAATACATTGTGGGGTCCATGTAAGAAACTATATAGGATTTTTTTGGAGTTGGCAAAAGCCACAGACGCACAAAAAATTTATTCATAAATGCATGAAATATGTATGCAGTGCTGCTGCCACGTGGTATATCGCGCTTCTCCTATCTTTTCACTCTGCTCACATGTTCCCTTTGCTCACCAAGGGGACCAAAATATTTAATCTGGTTTATCCAGATTGCGAGGGGCCTGCGCCCCTAACCCCCACGATGTAGAAGGCTAGACTGTATGGTTAAACTGAATTAGTTATCGGACAACAGAGTCTATCGAATAAGCTGCTGCTGTTCCCACCAGTTGTGCTGACACACAGCGGGGCTGACAAATCACTTGTTTTTGCTCAATATCATCTCTGTAGACACATACAGAAATATTTACATACAGCAGAAGGCAAATGTCATTTAGTGACCGGTTCAATTTTCTCCCTTTCACTAAATTTCTCACAAAAACGCCACACTGTCTAGGGGTGAAGCCAACAGCAAGTTTGAAAATGATTATGATTATTAGCCTGAAGAGCAAATGCAAATGGAGCAGCGATAAACTTTACATACATTTTTAATGTATACTATGTTATCTTGAAAAGGAGTAAAAGGTTTTAGCGAAATCTTATCGTGGAGACCACCCCTCCCCCAACCCTACTGGCAAATTTTATCGCTAAGATTTCGAAATACCAGAATAGCGTTGGTTTAGAAAATACCATATATTGCGGTAATATGTTAGGACAGTATGAAAAATTAGATTCCACTCAGGCCTAATCTCAACCCCGCTGACTGGAGGTCCTGGCGAGTTGCGTGATGTTGATACCACACACTGTGCAGGCCTAGGAACCACAGATGCACGCACCCATTTCTTAAATCTATGCCTTTTTTTGAATTTTTTTTTCTTTATCACTCATTGTCAAACTGGAGATCTTCCCCACAGACATCGATCCAGCTTTGGGGGGGGGCTGCTAATTGGACATTGATTTTGTGCAGAAGCTGGTTTTGAGTGTTTGTGTTGCTGGTAAGTGTTATTGACTGCGGACCAAGCCGTGTATTGACCTGCGGTCTGGACTCATTTGGTCAGGCGGCCTATCGGCTGTGAGGTGAAGCCACCCCCACAACCTCGTCAACTCTCATCAATTCCTCTAACGAGTGCGGAAGCGCCTTCGTAGCATGTGGGGCGCCCGCAGGGGACGTGGGGCTCGTTGCCCGCCTCTGCCCCGCCTCACCCCGTAATGCTCACTCGCTGTCCCTCTCCACTATCCGTGATGCCAGACTTGGTCAGACCATCGCAAGGTTATTAAAGCAGTTATTGAAATTCAATGGCCTCCCTGTCTCGCGGACTCTGACGCACAAATCTCTAAAAAGAGCTCCTGCGGGAAAGAAAAAGGCCGCCCAACTGCCCCCAGAGATGGCCAGGTGCCATATATTTCCGTCACTTTCAGCTCAAGCAGAGCTATGTTTTACCCAAAGTAAAATACATTTTTCAGAAAACAGGGCCAACCAGTCCCTGAAGGTTAGGGGCGTGTCTCAACTGCCCAATGATGAAAGTACTGTGCCACCCCCTGGTTAAGATCTGATCTTCCCACTCTTAAGATCTGATGTTCCCACTCTGCCTGAAATGTCATTTTTCTGTATTTTGATCTAAACTTCATGCTGTTAAACTGGCAATCAGATTTTACATTTAACATTAGACTCTCTGTCCAAAAGCGATTACAGGTCTGTGTTCAATATTAAGCTGCTGGCTGACATGAGCACATCCCCAGCGAAACGACGCTGCGATGCTGAAGTCTGGCGCTCTGTATGGCGCGGCTAGACGCTAACCCAGGGTGACAGCCTGAATCCGATTACTGATGACATTCTTCCAGAAGCATTAAAGCTAAAGATCAAGACAGTCGGTGTAATTAAACTAGACTGAACAGATTAAATCACAGCAGTTTAAATATAAGCGTAGTATCTACAAAAGGCAGCGTGGCCGGCTGCATTACGAGAGCCGGCGAGCCTTATCTAGCGCATTGTCGGTGAAGCGTAAATAGGGAAAGGTTACTTCCTGGCCCATTCTGAAGAGGCCCAACAGAGTCTCTTAATGCGGACCCAGACCGCAGCGACCTTGAGGAGGAATGAGCTCAAATGCCAGTGCTGGTCTACTGGTACCAGCTTTGTGTGGTGGACCTGAGGTCTACACTTTGATATGCGCTCCAAATGGGGGCAGCTAGACCCCCCCACATCCTAACTCTGGGTGAAAAGGGAGAATCCTCAGGCTAACCCTGGCAGTGTTAATGTGGACTCACTACACTGTCACAATGTCCTCTTCACTACCTGGACGTATGACTACATACCCAGTCACATCCTCCCACTAAGCCACTTCTCTTCTGAGCTCTGATGAGTTAAGGACCCTGATTAAATTTAAAGCCTGTTGCTGGCAAACACCCCCACGCAATGTAATACGTGTAATGTCCCTTCCTACTTTAATTAATCACGTTTATCCTGGTCATTTAATAAATAATCAAGGACTCACTGGCTCTTTCTGTGCCCTCCAGTGCTGGCTAATTCATATCTTCTGCGCGTTTGACCGTTTTCATGTGCTGAGACTGAACCTTCCCTTTGACTTTAAGCCATAAGGTTCCTAAAAGAGAACTTTGCAGCAGCATAACAGCGATCTGTGCAGTTCTCTTTGTAAATGTTACTGGACACCTTTCTCCTCTCTACAGCGCGACATCGGCGAGATCCAGCCAGGCCACACCTCGAATCTCTCAGCATTCAACAAGTGCTCGGTTAATTTGGGTTCAATCATAGCTTCATAAGCTGGCTTGTAGCAGAACTAAAAGCCTAATTGACCCACGGCTTGCGGGGTCAGCGATGCCCTCTTCTTACCGAGCAAGGTTAAATCAGCTATTCCCCATCCTGACTCCTCTTCCCGTATCCTCATTTCTGGAATAAGAAGGCTGTTGGCCACGAATGATAACTTTCATCCCCTCATCCATGAGATTGCTTCAGTGATTGAGACAGAATATAAAACACTGTGGCGTTTCACTGAGGTCCTCCCTGTGTGCAATATTGATTCAGTCGCCTGTTTTGCTACTGTGACACCGAACACGGTGACCTCCCTCTTCATAAGAACATAGCAGGTGATCTTAGAGGGCCGGGCTTCCTGGGGACGACGTCTGCGACATTCTCTGGGATCCCCTGTCCGTCTAAGCTAACACCTTTAGCGGATGGGAATAAGACCTAGTGTGGTTTCCGGTGCCCCCGAATGTGGGAGTCTAAATGCTAGACAAATGCCGTGATATTTAGGCGTGTGTCTGATGATTAAGGACCTTCAGCAAAGTTAGCATCCGTCTTCCATTGCTCTTTTTCCAGGTGCCGCCCGACACGAACATGGTTCAGCTAACAGCAGCTCAGTTAACCCGCTGAGGCATGCAGATGCTTTCGGGCCGCCCTCCGCGCCATTTCCCTGACCACTCTCGTTAAAAAAAAAAAAAAAAAGTTTCAAAAGGCTCTTAATCTGTTCCCTAGACCTCACCCACCACGGGCCGATGCCTCCACTTCCATTTTGCCGCGTCTTTTAAATGGAGATCGCTAATGAGGCTGGGAGCTCCGCGATCTCATTCAAATTGGCTCGGGGCGTCTTCAGGCCCAGCGATTCTGGAAGGTTCCTCACTGAATAAAAAGCCATTTTGTGGTAGGACTGTGTCCAGAAGGCTGATGTTCAAAGCTGCATGGAAGATGGGTCAAATGGTTTGTTTTACAGCTCTCTGAAAGGCTGTGGCGGTCCAGGAGAATGCCTGTGTGCATTTCAGGACCTCTAAAGGGTGCTCGCATACCTAATACAATTCCCTAATCTTTTTATAGTCCCTAAAGCCAACGAGCCAACAGCTGATGTGATCCAGACGCAGGTAGTCGAAAGGAAATTCCGGACGGGGATGACGGAGGGCTGTCTGATGGTGTCTCCATGCGCCTGGCCCAGGAGCAAAAATGTCAGCCATCTTGTGCCTGAAGCAGGGCCGTGCTGAGGCAGAATGACAGCTAAGCATAAATCATCCAGCCACAAAGAGTGCAGCGGGGGCAAAGTTGCCAAAATAATCTTCTCCAGATTCATTTTTCAGTCAGATCAGTAAAAAAAAAAATGCACACTAGTGAAAAAAGGTACTATAGGCTATAAAATGAAGTGACGTTTGCAGCTGGAAGGCCAGTCCTACCAAGATGGAGCTGTCTGGCACAGTGTTCTCCATGCCCTTCCTCTATTTGGGGCTGGGGGGGGGGAGGACTAGCACCTCACACTCTCACCTGCATGTGTACACGTACTGGTCCCACTCAGTACATCCGTCACGCGTGATTAGCCACTGAGACGCTAGTGACATAGCCTGTGATTTTGTTCCTCGCTTCGAGGGATGAGGGTGGCATTTAGCGGCCGGTGACAGCATATCCTATCTGAGGGAAGGTTATTTACATCAGCTCAGTGCTGCAGCTGTCCCTGAGATGTTTTGAGAGATCTTCTGGGTTCAGTGAGTGATGACATTCCCCTTCCAGTGATCCCAATGTGTACAAATGCTAAATGCGGTGTATTTATTTCTGAATGTTAAAATGTGTAAAACAACACAGACCTATCTTGTAATCTCTAGGAAGCTGTTCTGCTGTAGTGTGTCAATAGCAGCCTTTTATCAACATTTGGAGGGAATTTTCCAGAAGCCTTAATTATGTGTCATACCAACCTAATGGTAAGTATCTCTGCCAGGAGATATCAGAGATAAAAAATGATCTTCCTACTGCTTCTTACATAAAACAGGTCCATGTCTCATGATGACTTTGAACGTTTCAATGTTACACACTGAGGCACAGCCAGCCTAGAAGCCTCATAGTATATAGTGCATCTCAGATAAAGGGCTGTAACCCTATGACAGCCTGGCATGACAAAAACCCTCTTGTAATAGCATAGGACCCACAGGCCTGTTGTCACGTGCCTGTAAATGAATTACACACCACTAAAAATAAGCCAGCATGTCGGACCCTGAAGCAGTCCACCATTTTGACCTCATTGTGACAACTTTAACTATGTTGACTGATTATTTTGGGGGGGGGGGCTTCTTTACCGTCATTGGCTTCACTTCAGATTGTCACACTTTCCTGAACATCAGGAGCTGAACCCAGTCCCCCTCTGCGGGGAAAGCCAGTATCGGTAGTGTGACCTGACAAATCCCTCCTGGGGGTACATACTCATCTACTCACATTTTGAATAATGCTGCACAGTTAGTTGACTTCAAGCTGTTGTGAAACATTAATGAAATATCACAAAATGATCCTTTATTTGCCATTTGCAGAAGTACAAGTTCGGGTACACTGGACAGCTTCATTTCGCGTATCCCATCTTGCTCCCCCTTGTCTGTATACACACACACACACACACACACACACACACAGTTCAAAGTGCATCTTGAGGCCTGAGCTTCACGTATCTCTCGCCCCTGGAGCACTTTGGGTGGTTGAGGACCTTGCTGAGAATCACTGGCCTGCTGACGTAGTCCTCTGAGCTTACGGTTAAATCTAAAAAGTTGCCCACGGAATTCTGGAAGGAAACGACACATGTCGCTTAGCTTGAGATGCCTTTGTGGCTCCCGATCCATCAGGGTGTCACTCAGTCAGAGTAATACGAGGCACCAAAAACACCAAGTGAGCTGGGGGGGTGTGAGCTCACACTGTAGCGACCTCCTTCATGCCACTGGTGCACCAGAGAACAGAGCCCACCATCCACCCCGGGCTACCAGACATTTTTCAGTAAGAATATGCATACTACAGAGGACATCTGGGCTGAGATATGCTGCTCTCTGAAGTCATTCATAAAAATGCCTTAATCCCCACATCCTAGGAAAGGATCACAGACCACAGAGACCGATACGAGGATCTTGGGAGGAGGGGTTAAGCTTCTGTGTTTGCTCTATGACGACCAAATCACGACTGTAAAATTAACATCTGTATAAAAGTGTTAAGGTGTCATGGCAATGTGGGGTTTTTCTGATGGGTTGCCGTGCTTGTTTTTCATTCAGCGTGGCTGACTGAGTCGAAGTGCCCTGCATTCCAGCCGCCAGGGTCCACCTCACATCAAAGACCCCCACGCTTCCTTAGAAGGCGCCTCTCTGGTATCCGTGCTGGAGCCTAGTGCCTATGTGATAACAATCCCTGTTAATGTCGCAGCTTAACCCCCACCTCCAACCCTCCCCCAAGTGGATCATTTGCACATCACCTAACACACGCCGGTGTAAGGTGTGCTCCAAAACAAACCAAAAGCTAACCGACAAAACAGGTCGAGGTCTTGCCTGGTCATGCTCACGTTCCCATGCCATCGGATCTCCATGCTCACGCACCTTCCCCCCCCCCCCACCCCATTATTCACCTGTTTCACACATGACTGAGAGAAGAAAGTGTGGTGAACATGGACTGCAGGAAGCACACATAGAGACAGGTTTGCAAAAGGACAACCATGATGTCATCACAGAATCTGGGCATTCCACTCCTTGGAAAAAGAACCTTTCCCTCAACAATCCCACGCCATGAAGTGTGACCTACAGCTGCTACATGTGCACAACCTATATCATTCATTCATGCATCCATCCATGCATGCATCCAACCATCAATTCATCTATCTATCTATCTTACTGGCATGCAGCTGAACTGAATCATGACACATTATATACTTTCAATATCCCACCATCACATCCATACTGAGCAAAGGGATCTTGCTAACTTAGCAATGGTAGAAAACTCAAACTTGCAGAACCTTCCACTTACAACAAATAAATATGGACCCAGCAGAATGTCCCACTGGGCCATGTCACAACCCACAGAGCGTCTCACCTGTGGTGGGGACAGCACCCCAAACATCACGCCTAAAAAGGAGCAACAGATTTTACCTTTGAGATCCCTGACCCCACATCTGTACTGGACATGGAGGAGATGCTGAGAAGCATGAGAAGATCTTACTGGAAATGTGCAGCTGAGAGTCTCCCCTTGCCTTCCTATGCTGCTCAGCATTCTGAAGTCAAGTTTGTTTCTTGCAACAGGGCACTTTGTATTAATTTATACCTGCTGCCACTGTAATGCAGATCACTATGTGTGTATATATATATAGTGATCTGAATTACACTATGTATGTATATATATATAGTGATCTGAATTACATTATGTGTGTATATATATATAGTGATCTGAATTACACTATGTGTGTGTGTGTGTGTGTATATATATATATATATATATATAAATCACCCTCCTCCTGTTTTAGCTGCTCTGGAAATAGGCCTAATTTGGTGAGCTTAATCACGACCCGTACTGGCGCCTTCTCTACTCAAGCTGGATAGTTTGAAATGAAGAGTTTAACTGTAACATAATTACATGTCCTTGCATATTATGAAATCCATTATTAGAATACATGTCCTTTTATTTGCTTGTAATTCTTGTCACCCAGTGTAATAGGCATTTTCAAAGGGCACGCTCTAGGCTCTAAATGTTAAAGCGTTTATAAATGAAATCACAAAGGCCCTCTCTTTGTCTTTAATTTCCCACACGAGGCTGGATTGCCAGGGGGTGGGGGTGAGAGTGGGGGGTGTTTCTGGGGATTCAGCCGTCTCTGATCGTAGGATCTGTGTGGCGAAAACGCAGATCCGGCCGGGAGAATGGCGGTCCAGGTCCTCGGCATCCGCAGAATTGTGATGAGGTGCTGATTGGAGCCAGACTCGGAACAGGAGGAATGCTAACTGGGAAATCACGCACAGCAGGACCGTTGGGAGCCTCAGTTTTGGCCGTGAGGTCAGAGTCTGCTTGGGAGGAACACCAAGCTCATGCTCTAGCTCCTGCAGGTTGACACTGCGCCCAGTGCAGTGTTTAACATTTAATCGCCAGCAGAGGGCGATGTAACATGCCACGGCTAATCCTCTGCATGTGGGTGGTCATCTGTGAGGATACTGAACCAGCTGGATGGTACTGGGCCTCGTGGTGGTACCCGGGTCTGATGCAGACTCAACATGCACTGTGCGATCTTCACAAGGTCCAGCACTTGCTTTCTTGTTTTTTACCCGTCTGCCGGAGACAACCAAAGAAATGGGAAGCTATCAAAACATCTAGCAGACTCCATGTTCCGTGCTCATTCAGCCGGCCGCAATTACCGTCTGACAGACAAAAAAATAGATAGAACCCAGCTTCTGTATTTAATTTGAATTTCTTTGTCAATTTATTGGCACATTTTACAAAAAGAATAGGGAGAAGATCCAGTCCAAAGTGGATCATTTCGCTGCTCCTCACAAGGTGATCGGAATGTCAATTCTTGAATGTTTCCGAAGAGCAAGGACTACCCCCGGTGGCCGAGACGGTACAGTGCACCCTACCCAGCCCAGCCTTCCCTGGCAGCTTCTGCGGTCTCGCTGATAAGTTAACCTTGCGATAACGTGCTAATGCTCGGCGAGCCCCGCGCTAATTAGACACGGCCTCTCGCAGTTAGCGGGGGACGACGAGCAGCTGTAATTAGGCCAGCTGGGGAGATAATGTTCACGCAGTACGTAGGAGCCTTATCAGGCTTCCAGGGGGGGTCGCTCCCGCATGACAAGGGCCTGTGCTTATTTCCTGTTCATTTAAATAAATGCATGTACACAGTGCTGCAAAGCAGTATAAGATCCAGAGTGAACATACTGGCAGAGATAAGGGGTGGGCGGACCTGTACCATTCTCCACTAGATTTATCTTCAAGTTGCTCTTGCAAGGCGCGATGGGGAACAGGCGCACTTACGTAGGCGCTGAAGCCGAAGACAACTCGCATCCGTAATGAAACGCTGCTGTTTGTGAGCAGCTGACTCTGCCGTCTATCTGATATAAATAACCCGCTTTGTACGCAGTTGTATTCCTGCGGGTCCCAGCTGTCTCGGGGCGAACGCCTTGCTTTCCAGAACAAGTGCTAACAATGAGGAATGATCCCATTATCGGAAAGGGGAGCCACACGCTCATCAGCACCCGCTTTTCCTTCCCATTAATGGCACACTACTGGGGGAGTGGGGGGGGAATTGCTGAGGAAACAGCCCCGCTTTCTGGCACGGTGACATTGGGAAGGTCTCTGAGCTTTGCAGTTGGACCACACCTGAGTTCTGTGTGTCAGAAGGTCTAACAGGTAACACCCTGCTTGGGTGTTACCTTGCGTACTTGGGTATTCCTCTGAAAATGCATATACAAGCATTACTACACCATATATTAAGGTATTAGCGTACATTTAGTGATATGCGTGGTCACATAAGGTTCCACTGCATGTTTGGAAGGGTTAAGCTATAAACAAACTATGTCTAGGCTATATATATTTACCTGAACTTTAAAATCAGTGTGCGAAGCAGAGCGCGGTTGTGTTTCTGACCAGATGCTGGGGGTTCTGACAGGTCAGAGGGTGATCAGATTAGACAGTTACTCTTTATCTGGCCCAGACACCAGACTGACTTCCAAGGGCCCCCTGGGACCATCCATCCAATCCCCCCCCAGCCCGTCCGGATGCCGGCTGATCATCACGCATCCCTGGCCACATAGGTTACCTCCCGTCGGTGACCAGTGGCGGGTGCTATGGAACATGGGCCGATTTCCCATCATACATTTCTCTGTTTGAGCCTTTAATCATCGAATGAGGGAAATTTCCTGCCCCGTGCGTTTTATCTCTCCTTTTGATCCCATGAAGGAAAATGTAATTTTGCTTAGCTAATCGTTGTAAATCAAATCAGGGGGTTAACTCAGGGGTGACTCATTAATAGTTACCGGTGGACAGCAGGGAAACGCTGCTGAATACAAATGAACCACTTTTTTTTTGTTTCCCAGTCCGTCATTGTTAACAGTGCATTAATTACCTGGCTTATATAATGGCAAAAGATGCACGCTGTGTTCATTATGAAGGAAAATACCTTGAAATTACCCTCTGGATATTGCAACAGCAGGAATATTATTGCCCTGTTTGGAATTCCAGTACAATTCTGTCATATTCTGGACTAGACACACTTGGAATTTTGGATTTCCTTAAGGAATATTCATTTGAAAACCTGAAGGAAAATTTCCTTTTGTTCGATTACATTATGGCAACATCACATGTGTGTTATGTATTTGAATAATAATGACATGCATATTATTTTGCATTTTAATTGTATTTCAGTGAAGTTGAGTGATCTATCTCAAATTCATCCATTTTATGAATTTTTAAACATACAAATGCTTATATAACAGTGTATACATACCAGTGACTGATGCATTTGAATGTGGAAACACTATATTTCTACATTTGTCTAGGGAAAATCTTTTTTAAATTGTATTAGATTCTGCTTCTCTCTGCATATACTGATTTGTGTCATGTAAAATAAAATACCTCAGACACACTTCATTCCCATCCATCTACCTATGTTCTAACTCCATCCTTCAGTCTGCCCCCCCCATCAGTTGATGTGTAGAAATACCTCGTGTGACATGGCTTTGCCCAGACCGGCTTCATTCCCTCTGTCTGCCTCCCCTATCAGTTGGCGTGTAGAAACACCTCAGTTGACATGGCATCCTGCAGACTGGCTTCATTCCCTCAGTTTTTCTCCTCCATCAGCTGTGTAGAAATATCTCATGTGACATGGCATCCCGCACACTGGCTTCATTTCTTCAATCTGCCTCCCCCATCAGCTGACATGTATAAACACCACATGTGACATGGCATCCCCTGGATTGGCTTCAATCCCTCAGTCAGCTGATGTGTGTAAACACTTCATGTGACATGGCTTTCCCCAGACTGGCTTCATTCCCTCAGTCTGCCTCCCTCATCAGCTGATGTGTGTAAATACCTCATGTAACATGGCGTCCCCTAGACTGGCTTCATTCCCTCAGTCTGCCTCCCCCGTCATCTGATGTGTGTAAATACCTCATGTGACATGGCGTCCCCTAGACTGGCTTCATTCCCTCAGTCTGCCTCCCCCATCAGCTGACATGTGTAAATGCCTTTGGTTGCCAGGAAGTGCGTGACTGTGCGCACAGGCAAGGAAATGAAAGGACTTTAAATCTCTTCTGAAAATAACAAAAGAGAATGTTTTCGCCGCAGAGTGTCCGCTAGCGGGACAGGTCGTCGGCATCGCCGGGGAATTAGATAACAATTCGTGCTTGTTTGACTGTGTTCGCGGATATTTCGTGAGTAAAAAGCGGCCTGGAAAAGAAAGACGAAAAATAAAAAGGGGGAGGGAGACACCGTCTTCAAAGTCGGGGCTTCGCCTTTACTTTCGTCTGCAGCTAGTTGTCATTTACCGAGTGTACTTAGTCACTTTAGACAGTCTGGAGAGTTTAGACATTCGAGTACTTCTTTCTGAAGTAAAGTCGGATTTTAAAAAATCCAGTCGATTTTTACTAATCAAGGCTAGAATACACAAAGTTAACTAGTCTTCTCGTTAACAACTTTCTAGATTTCTCCTTAAGGCAAACTCGCTTGCGGTTTAACAGCTGGATAACTCCGTTAACTAGTCTTCTGTTAAAAACATCACCGTTGTTTTACGGCGCCGTGACGCCCGACGTTGTTTAATGTGGACTTGCCCAGTAGCGGGTTAAACTCGCATATTCAGCTCACCGCTTAACCGGTTAACGCCTTGCTGCGCCTGGCCTGTGCTGCTCGGCCCTTGGAGATGGAGGACCGGGCCAAGGCGCAGCCCTGGGGGAGGCTGGTGAAGCTGGACCCGGGTGCGGGCTCAGAAGTGCTGCTGGTCAACAAGGAGTGCACGGTGGGAAGAAGAAGGGGTAAGACAGGATTAAACCGGGTAGCTGGTGACTATGCACTAGCTGTTTGACACCCCCTCCCTCCGACTCGTTAACCGCATTTCGTCTTTTCAGTTCCTTTAATGACACAGTAGCCAGTTCGTGTCTTTAAGTACTGGTAGACCCATCGCTAACTAATCTGTCTTTTGTCCAACTGATTATTTTTTACTGACTATAGAATGCGGATGCTAGTTTAATATATACATTATATATACATTCTAACATTGTGATTTCAGAATGGAGGACACGCCTTAAAAATATAACCATTTATGATCGTTTAAGAAAAACAAAATTAATATACGCTCTCTTTTGAAACATTTTAAAGCATGCGCTAAATTTCTGACTAGGTGTCTTAAACTTTGTTTATTAAAGTTATTCTAATAGTATAATTAATATTCATGTGCATGGGGTTGGATCTTATTACAATAATGTAGGTGATTATGCAAATTTCCACGGCCCCCCGATGTTTTGCTGAGTTTTTGCCAGACTCCACTCAGGTGACGTGCGCTGCGCTCCATCAGGTCCGCCTTCGGATGTCTACGGCGCATGCGTGCTATGAATATTAATGAGCGCTTTTCCATTGGTGAGATTCAGACCTGGGATAAAGGCTTTAAAGGTCCCCCTTTGTGTGGTTTCGAGAGCTTGGGGTTAATTAGGGTCCCCTTCTTTATTCGTCCTCCAATATTCTGCCAAATCACCCAGCTGGTCATAATGTAGAGTTTAGTTTTTGTTTTTTTGGAATTGGAATGTAATTTTTATTAAAATGTTAATTGTATATTGCTCAACCAATCTGTATTTTACTTTTTCTAGGGTGCGATCTCTCCTTTCCTGCAAATAAACTGGTCTCAGGGGATCACTGTAAAATAGTGCAAGATGAACACTCAGGTGAAGTCTGGTTGGAGGACATGAGGTAATTTTGGGTTTTTTCTCTTTTTTTAAATGATTCTTCCGGGATAAACTTACAGACAATTTAGTACATCAAATATTAGTTAAAAGTTTAGGGTTGCTGTCTGTGAATGTATGTGCCCTACAGTGGATTGGTGTTTCAACCGGTTTCACAGTGGCTCTATTCTGGATAAGGATGGATGGATGGATGGGAGGGAGAAAGAAAGCCAGGCAGGCTAACTTAAAAGTGTAACGATGGATTGTTGAGTCTAGCTCTGAACTCTAACTGTGGACACAGGACTCATTAACAAAATGCTTCTGAATGAAGATGGGATGGGGGATTTTGGATGTTATATGAATCATGTTCTAGTGGATTTGGGACTAGTTTGTTTTGTTACAGTGACAGCCATCTTTAATCACACAGGCCACTGTGATGATGGTTTTGCTCTTCTAACATTGTGATTTCAGTCATTTGCGCATGATGGAACCAAGGTCAGGTGTGCCGCTCATGTGGTTTTTGCAGATTTAGAGATTAATTGACAAATTATATTTCCTCAGCACCAACGGCACTGTGATCAACATGTCCAAACTGGTTAAGAAGCAGGTGCACCCTTTGCAGAGCGGTGACGTGATCTACTTTGTGTACAGGAAAAATGACCCAGAGCAAAGTGAGCATCGGTGATGATGGTGGTGATGATGATTGTTTTAGTTATTTCCAGTGCATGTCTAAGGAAATAAAGGCTTTGTTGTTGTGGTTTTGTGGGTCTAGTCTATGTTGTGTGATAGTTGCTTAGTATTAAGCTCTGTTTCCATTATCTGGACATACATGAACTCATACGTTATTAGTTAGATGCAAAGTGTGGGATGGTAGAGTCTGTCTGAGATGATGTAATGTTTCTGCCTTCAATTCCTTGTGAACTGTGGTGGGGTCTGTGTTCCTAGTGGGAGACGTTTTTCTACGTCCACTTTAAACTTCTCATATTATTGAGCGTCCTGTGTGTTTAACGCTAAATCCTGTAGGACAGCAGATTAGGCCTCTGTGTCTGATTGGTTTCAGTCTTGGCAGAATAGTCACCCGTCTGTTAGGCCCGTAAGTGAGGCCCTTAACACCCCCCGCCAAAATGCTCCAGGCCACCAGTGTTTCATTATAATTTTATTTCACCCTTGTACCTCGCTGATTAATAGGTTGTCAATCCGGTGCCTTTACACCCTAACCTTGTATCCTTCCCTGCAGACATAGCATACGTCTACCATTCTATTCCTCTGCAGTCGGCGGCTCTGCGATATGCCACAGGTGAGTCCTTGCTGTCTGTCCGTCCTCTTTGCTTTCCTTCAATGCAGTGTTTCCCAATTCCGTCCGCGTGGACCCACAGACAGTCCTCATTTTTGCAGCAAGAACGGGCTGTCTGACAGGGAGCTCAGAGGGAACAAAAACATGAACCGATTGTGGGTCCCTGAGGACCCTTTTGGGAAACACTGATTTAATGGATTTGGGCATGGTGAGAGTCTCCAGTGTAAGTGAGCGGCATGTCCAGGATTGTCCTCAGTCTGTCTTCAAATGTGTGGAATTCTCCATTTGGGCATAATGCCGACCTTCTGTACAGGAAGAGCTGTCAGCCACGGATGGCTTCTGAGAGCCGGCACACTATCTCTGTTATTTGCACATTGCACATATTTATTGCTTATTTGTTTACTAATTCATGTACTGTCTTGTATGGCAGTACTGTTTGTCCTACGCCCCGGTGCCCTACCCTGCTTAAGAATATCACTGTGTTCCTCGGACACAGCTATGGTTTGTGATATAGGATAATTACGGCTCTACGGATTTAGAGGGCGGAGGAGGAGAAAAACAATCATGCATATTTCGTATATACATGCATGTATAATTGTAGATGACTATCCTTTAATTATATATAATATATACTGCTGACTTGTTACAGTGAAAAATCACTGGAAAATCAGTGGTAGGTTTTCCTCCCCATAGGTTGAAGTCCTGCATTTTCAAAGGGATTCCAAACATGTGGATGTAAAGTTTTTTTTTTGTTGTTTTTTTTCTTCCAGATGTTGTAGATGACATGGCTTTTAGCAGGAAGGCTTATGCTCTTGACCGATGCTGTTTGTGCTTGTTTTGGCAGCATCCCCTGAGCAGACAAGGGCAACTCAAGATGAGCCACAGCCCTCCACCTCCAGCTCACATGTGTTCTGCACCTCCACTCCAGCAGCCTGTCCCGCTGAAGCTGGTCACGGTGGGTCTCAGACGGCCTCCTCGGTTAGGGCACCCAGAATGACACTGGGTTTGGGCTTCTAAGCTCAGCTTCCTCTCGTGTTCCAGGCAACCTGATTTGTGAGTCTTACTCGCTTGCAGGTTCTGAGACGTCTCTCGCATCCCATGATGCCCCGGGGCCAGAACGCGTAGACACAAGAGTGAAGCCTCCGTGTACAAGAGATGTCCGAAAGACGGAGGCTGGGGATGATGAGACAGAACCAGAGAGGAAAAGGAGAAAAACTGGTACTACTCACTTTTTACCGTCACTCCCATCCCAGAGAGTCACTCGACCATCACCGCTCAGCCTGTCCTTCCTTTACCTTCAGAAAAGGATTATGAGTTTGACCTGCCTGACACGGAGTCCACTGAGGCTGAGGGCCCCCATAAGGGGCCCGTGGAGGCCCCTGTGCGGAAGGGAGCTGCAGAGGGGTCAAAGGTTGACAAGATGGAGGAATCACTGACCTGTATCATCTGCCAGGACCTGCTGTATGACTGTGTGAGGTGAGAGCTTGCTCCGCCTATCCGTCCATCTGTTCGTTCCCTCTCTTGTGCGCTGCTCTGAGCCCCCTCGCCCCCTCTCCCCCCCTCTGCCGTCAGCCTCCAGCCCTGCATGCACACCTTCTGCGCGGCCTGCTACTCCAGCTGGATGGAACGCTCCTCCCTGTGTCCTACCTGCCGCTGCCCCGTGGAGAGGATCCGCAAGAACCACATCCTTAACAACCTGGTGGAGGCGTACCTGCTGCAGCACCCAGGTACGTGGGGATCCACAGAGGCTAGGGGCCTCGCTCGGAACTGGCCAGGCCCAGTACCAGGAGAAAATGTGACTGCTGGTCTGTCAGGGTAGCAGGCCAGTAGCTCACCCTCTGCTTATGGAAGCAGTGCTTGTAGCGTTGTATAATTTGGTTAATAATCCTCGTCCCAAGCTGTGGCTTTAGACCTGGCCGGTGCCTCCCTGATGTCGCCCGTCTGTCTCTGTCAGAGAAAAGCCGCAGCGAGGAAGATCTGAAGAACATGGACATGCGCAACAAGATCACTGAGGACATGGTGCAGCCCAAACTCGAGCGGTCCCTGTCCGACGAGGAAGGCAGCTCTGACTACCTGTTTGAGCTCTCTGACAACGACAGCGATACCTCTGACATCAGGTGGGCCCCGCAGCTAGAACGTCCTGGCACACCGCCATCCCACGACAGCCTACTGCGGCTCTTCCGTTACTGACCACTGGTCCACCCACTGTCTGTCTTCCAGCCAGCCCTTCGTCATGTGCAGGCAGTGTCCCGGCTACAGGAAGGATGGCGTCCATGGGGCCTCGGTCTCTGGAGTGACGCGGGGCGAGCAGTTCGCTAAGCCTTTAGGGGAGGGACCCTCCACATCCGCCAGTACCCCTTCAGGTACACCTGAAACCGATACCCTTGATGTTCCGGATCCTGGAATTTTGATTTAGATTACCGCCCTGCTAGTTAGGGTCCCGATGATAATGGTGACATTAACTGAGGTCATAGTCTTCCTGATTGTTCCCTTCTCCAGCTCTTCAGGAATACACATGCCCTCTCCAGGGCAGTCATGTGATTTGCACGTGCTGCTTACAGCCCATGCCAGACCGCCGTGGTGAACTGGCCAACCACCCCTTATTCACGCAGCAGTGTGAGTGACCTCTAGGGGGCATCGCTCGCCATGGGAGCTCCTCAGCTTGCGGTCTGCCACTGACCTTTCACCCCTGCCCCGCTAGGCGCCACGTGTCACCTGCCGTTCTGCCACATGTACTGGGGGTGCCAGCGGACCGGATGTCAGGGCTGCCTGGCGCCATTCAGCGGTATGCAGTTCAGTGACGGTTGTCCTCCCCGCATGGGATCAGTGCTCATGTTCACAGTAACTTGCTTGTCCATTCTGAGGCAGTTTGATGACCTGAGTTGTCGTCATTGTCCTCCTCATGAATATTTGTTCCCTCAGAACTCAACCTCACAGAAAAATGCCTTGATGGAGTGCTCAACAGCAATAATTACGAGTCCGATATCCTTCAGGTAATCTCCCCTGTTCTGTTGTTAATATAGACCTCCCTCTGTCTGGCAAAGAGTTGATTTTGTTAAAATAGACCTCTCTCGGTCTGACATAGTTGCGCTGGTTAATATATACCTCTTTCTGTCTGGCAAACTGTCACTGTAGTTAAGCGAATGCTCTGTCTGGAAAACACTTGCTGGGGTTAATATCGACCTCCCTCTGTCTGGCAAACAGTTGTTTTGGTTAAAATATACCTTTCTTGGTCTGACAAAGAATCACGCTGGTTAATAATAGACCTCTTTCTCTCTGGCACACTGTCACTTGCGTTAAAAGAGAACGCTCTTTGTCTCTCAAACACTTGCTCTGGTTAATATAGACCTCTCTCTTGCTATCAAACAGCCACTTTGGTTGGTAATGGCCTCTCCCAATCTGGCAAACCGTTGCTTTGGTTAGTATAGATTTCCCTCTGTCTGGTGTCTTGGCCTTCAGCTGGCTCTCTCCATTCCATAGATTTCCTCTTTAATCACATTAGTCTTATCCAGGTCCAGCAGTACCTTTTAGCTGTCCTGTATTAGCTGTCTTTGGTCGCAGGACTCCCTGTCTGAGGTCCACTCCATGTCTAACGCTGCTTTTTCTGGCAGAATTACCTGGCTTCCAGAGGCATGTCCTGGAAGGAGATGCTCCAGGACAGTCTGCAGGCCCTTCAGCAGGGTACCTTCCACCTATCAGGTCAGCTGCCGCCTGGCGAGCCCTGCTCCGCCCCACCCCCGCTCCGCCCCACCTCCCTTACTCCCCGCCCTGCCCCCCTGACACCCCTGATTGTAATGGGCGCTCTCCCGTCCAATATCTTAGACTATCGCATTACTGCCAACACCGTCCTGTGCCACTGTTGTGGCCTGAGAGCCTTCAAGGAACTGGCCTACAAGTACAGGCAGAACATCCCAGCCTCCGAGCTTCCAGGTGAGGCCCCAGCCCGGCCCGACCCGGCCGCTTCTTCAGAAGAGTCGCTGACAGCACTGTCTGATCTGTTCCCTCTGCCTGTTCTGAACACACAGCGGCTGTAACATCTCGTCCTGACTGCTACTGGGGACGCAACTGTCGCACACAGGTGAAGGCCCACCATGCTATGTGAGTACCTTTCACAGCGCCCCCTAGTGGCATACACTGCTTATGGCATCCTTCAGGCTCTCTTCTGCCTGCTGGCTTGTTTCACATTTTCTAGCTGTCAGGCTCGTAAAGAATAAGCAATGGGGAAAAAAAATCACTGCCTGTAACAATTCATGTTAGGCAGCCCTTTGAAAGGTATGGCAAGGTCCCTCCTTGGTGAAGCTTAAGTTAACCCTTCAGTTCTTCAGTTTACATATCCACAGTCTTAACTACCCTGCAGATTGAGTCCCACCTGACCTAAGGCTGTGTGATGTGGTCTCATCAAGTCTGCCTCTTGACATCAAGTGCTATTGTGTTTTTCGTCAGCAGGGGGAGTTAGTCCCCCATCTCTGTTTTGCTTACTTGACTTTTGATTCAGTAGGTGAAGTCAAACTGTACTGTCCTTTCTCTTGGTTTCTTCCAGGAAGTTCAACCACATTTGTGAGCAGACGCGTTTTAAGAATTGAAGAGCCCCTCGTCGCTTCCCCCTGGAGAGAGAGAGAGAGAGAGAGAGAGAGAGAGGAGGCTCTCTTGGTGTGTCCGAGTGCCTTTTTGGGTGATGGTGCCTATGCTGGAGCCCTCGGGTTTAGCAGAGACACCCCAGGACAAAAAGAGTAACTTTCAGGAAGCCCAAGTCATTACAATCTCATGCCATTTTGCCTGTCAACATTGCAAATGGACAAAAAGGCATTGGTGTGAATAGCCTCATTAATGTAGTCTTTGTGTAAGGCCTGTGGGAATCCCCCAGAGGGCCTTCCGTCTGTGATGTCAGCGGGGTTCCTCTATCCCCGCCCACACACTTAGTGTGCTCATCAGGTCACGCTCTCTGTCATTGTTCCTCATGTTGCTCCTATGGTGTTTTCGCAACTTTCTCAGTGTTACAGCATAATTGCTTGAGTCTCCCTATCTATGCGTGTTCATTTCTCAGCAGTGCCAGGCTCCAGGTGGCTGGTGCGCCTGTCATTAGCGGTTAGCTTTTCTCTCTGCGTTTCTGAATAGAGAGCTGATACAGTGTAGGAATTCCTCCATGCGTTCCCTTAGGGGGGGCGTCTTACTGACACAAAGCTGCCGAGTATTTGTCCCAGTGTTAAGAAATGTAGTGGCAGAGAGTGTACAGGGCCTCCCTCCTGTTAGTGAGTGATGGCGTTAGCGCCTGGCTAGCCCTGATTTTATTTCAGTTTTTATCCTGTACCAAGTCAGGTTAAAGCCTGGCATCAGAGCTCCCTGTTTCTGTGGCGACTCGTATTTATTTATGGGGGAGAAGCGGTGGACACTCATGCATATTAGATATGCTGTGATGCTATTCACATCTGACACTGCGATTTACACTGGGCAGCAACAGCGGGTAGCTTAGAGCAGTGATCACTCATGGAGGAGGGGGGGGGGGGGTAGCCATCTTGGTTCCTGCTTTGCTTAGAGATAATCAGCCTTATTATCGTAGTTCATTAGCCCCGATTCGGTGGCTCTGTGAAACAGCAAGCCGATCCACTTAGTTGTGGTCCTTAATGGCTCATAGACATGCCCACGGTAACCGACTTGGTCATGTGATTAGTGTTACGGGCAGCGTGCAGGGGGTGTGCTGTGCTACACCCCCATGAAGAGAGCCCTGTGAACAGAGAATGCGGCATGCCCATATGGTGGGCGGGGGCGGGGGGGGGGGGGGGGGGGGGGGGGGGGGGGGGGGGGGGGGGGGGAGTGAAGTAAAGGCGTTTTTCTTTTTTGCTGTAATCACTGTTAAACCTTAAAGACTGAATGCGTGCGCTTGGCTGTAGCAGCAAAGCTCGAGTCCGCAGACATCGATATGTAGAGAGGCCTTAATCACCTGCAGACCTGTTGTGCGATTCGATGAGGTCCTTCGCTAGTGCGGAGCGTCCGCTCTGAACAGCAGCCTTAATCGTAGCCGCTGTGTCGCTCGTAGTGCTTTTTGAAAAGCAGCGATGAGGAGGGCGAATTGACTGCTAAGATCCTGTTTAGTTGATGAAATGTAAGTTTGACAGGTTAGAAGGAAGTGAGGATGTAGGGTTATTGTTCTTAATTATTCTATTACTGCAGGGGTCAGTTTGTCTGTCCTGTTAAACCAGTGCCTGTTTAATAACCAGTCCCACTGCTTCCCAAACTAGTCTAGGCTGCACGCTAACATTAACCTTGTTAGTAGGTCAGGCAGCCCACAATCCACCCGTTTGCTTTCGTATTATGTGGTTTGGTAACAGGGGAAAATTATCCTGGTTTTGGGCTAATGAGATTGACTTCCAAACCCCTAATCAGCCCACATTTATTAGAGTTTAAATACTTTTCTGACTGGCTTATCCTATTAAAGTGACTGATTACTTTCTCCTCCCTCATTCTGATACATGGGATGTGTGTAGCGGTTCCCATAAACAGATTTATGACATTCTGGCTTCAGCCGAGAGTGCTGGAGGTTCCCGGGTGGTTCGGTTTCGAGGAACGCCTTCCTGTGGTGAGGATCGATGGTCCTCCAGCTGCCGAGATTATGGCCTCCGCTTTGTGATCCAGCACTCCTCCAGTGGTGCTTGGCTCGTCCCCAGTCACGCCACACTGACGTAAAGGGGGGGATGAGGGGCACGCTGGGTTCATGATGACCCCGGCAGCCCCTAGTCTTAATTTCCTGTGTCTGTGCTGGCGGCTTTCACCGTGAGCAGGAAAGGCAGCATTCCACTGTAGCCCTGGGTGGCAGCCAAACGGGGTCCCTGGGGCTGGTGGATTTTAATCTCTCCTAACTGGAGGGTCACCGCAGGCCGGTTGCCGGTCAGGATGGGGGGGGAGGGGGAGGGGGGTACTGAGGTCCGCAGGCCCCCTGCCCTCCTCTGAGGGAATCGCTGTGTTCTAGCTCAGCATTTCCCAACCTAGTCCTCAGGTACCTGCAGAGTCCACATTTTTGCTACCAGGAGCTGAGAGGGAGCAAAAACTTGGACTGTGTGGATCCCCATGGACCAGGTTGGGAAACACTTTTCTTGGTGTTTACCCACCTTTTCTTTTTTTCCTCACTGGAGGGGACAAGATAATTCTACCTCATCTAAGCTTACAGCATAAAATAAAGGCATGAGTGAGTTATGAGCTTTAGATTAGCGGCAAAGGGAGTGGCTGTAGAGAGCCGTGCTGCCTGACGTAAGGGCTGCAGCTGTTAGAGATCCTGAGTGAGAATCATTTCCCGTTAGGTAGGCCTGCTTCTGAAAACACGTGGTTAACGGCATTAATAAAGCGTTAAAATCACTGTCTTGTATTGTCTGGAATGTTCTGTCTATAATCACAATAATGGGGGTTTATTTAAAAAGGTTTTTATACAGATTTCTCCATGCAGACATTCATGACTTTCTCTATAAGCACACGATCATTACATGAACTATTTGCTGATGAATGCCTGCTTTTAGAGTTCCCCTTTGAAATCCAAAGCTCCGCAGACTGTTACTGCTGTGACATTAGCGCACCCTGCAAAGACTCTGCCTGGCAATAGCAGGAGAATATGAACCCATTTGATCAGTTGCAAGGCAGCCCCAGAATCCTGAAATGTTTATAAAGGAACCATCCTCAACTGTGATTGATCAGGATTTTCCTTAAATGAGGATCAAGGAATCAAAGATTTCTTCTTTTTTTGGGAATTAGTCTTGTAATGTACAGTAAAACCTCGAATTGCGAGCATAATTCGTTCCGGAAATGTGCTCGTAATCCAAAGCACTCATATATCAAAGCGAATTCTCCCATTAGAAATAATGGAAACTGATTATTCGTTCCACAACCCAAAAATATTCACATAAAAATTAATACGAAATATAAAGTAAAAATATATAAAACGAATTAACCTGCACTTTACCTTTGAAAAGAATCGTGGATGGTGAGAGGGAGACGAGAGAGAGGAGAAGAGGAGGGTTATTTTGTAGAACGACTTTCACTATAACAGAATCACCGCTATCTGTCGGCTCATTGGAATCTTTTTCTTTTTGTGCGACTTTAACAAGGGACCTATCCAATGACAGCTGCTTCTGCCTCCTTTTCGATTTCGTGGAAATGTGGACATTACATTGTCGTTAAACAGATTCATCACTCGCACTGCTATGCCCTTATTCGGGCGGTGCTTTTCTACAAAATTTTGACAATATGAGTGAGGCACACCGACAGACCGAGCATGGGAGACGATTACCCACAATCGCGCAGCGAGAGAGAACATAAGAATTTTACAAACAAGAGGAGGCCATTCGGCCCATCAAGCACATTTGGGGAGAACTTAATAGCTCAGAATTAATATCTTATCTAGGTCTGATTTAAAGGAACCCAGGGTTTTAGCCTGCACTACTTGAAGAGGAAGACTATTCCATATTCTACACGCTGTGTGAAGAAGTGCTTCCTCAAATCCAGTTTAAAATGTTCTCCTGCTTATTTCCACCTATGGCCACGAGTTCTTGTATTTGAACTAATATTGAAGTAACTATTTGCACAGCATCCAGACCTGTTAGAGTCTTGTATACCTGGATCAAGTCCCCCCCTTAGTCTCCTTTGCTTGAGGCTAATCAGATCCAGCTCAGCTAACCTCTCCTCATAAGACATTCTTCTAAGACCAGGAATCATTCTCGTAGCCCTACGTTGAACCCTTTCCAAGGCAGCAATGTCATTTTAAAGGTATTGTGACCAAACCTGCACACAATATTCTAGGTGGGGTCTTACCAAGGAATTGTATAATCTTAGCATCACCTCCCTTGACTTACATCTCTAGGTGTGTGGAGTTTAACCCAACATCCTATTGGCCTTTTTAATTGCTACCCCACACCAGTGAGAGTGTGACATGGAAGCATCAACATACACTCAGAGATCTTTCTCAATCAGCTACCTTTATTTCAGTGGAACCCATAAAATATCTGTACTTTATATTTCTGCTCCCTGCATGGATTACCTTACATTTATCTACATTCAATTATCTGCCAGGTATCAGCCCAGTCGCTAATTAAATCAAGATCCTGTTGTAGCCTCTGTGCTGCTAATTTAGTGTCTGCTACAGCACCCACCTTGGTGTCATCTGCAAAGTTAACCAGTTACTGTATGCATTGGTGTCAATATCATTAATGTAATTAGGAAAAATAGTGGTCCTAAAATTGAACCCTGCAGTACCCCACTATAAACGCAGGCCCACTGTGACATTGTGCCTCTAATAACTACTCGCCGATTCCTGTCTGTTAACCAGCTTTCGGTCCAAGCTGCTACAGTTCCTAAAACCCCTGCAGCTTTGAGCTTAAGCAAGAGCCGTTTGTGGGGTACAACATGAAAGGCCTTCTGGAAATCTAAGTAGATCACATCGTAGGCCTTTTTGTAATCAATTTCTCTTGTAGCTTCCTCAAAGAACTCGAGTAGATTAGTTAAACAAGATCTACCTCTCCTAAATCCATTTTGGCTATCCCTCAGAATGGTATTTGAATCCAGGTAATCTACCATTTGGATCTCCCTTGGATTATAGCTTCCATTACTTTTCCAGTTATGCAAGTTAAACTGATTAGCCTATAGTTTTCTGGATTACTTCTATCCCCTTTTTTGAATATGGGTGTTATATTGCCAGAAGAGAGAAGAAACATCAGCTCAGTTGAGATCACGTGACGCTAGGCAGACAAAACGTGTACATAATACTCGTATTGCAAGATCTCACTCGTTTATCAAGTTAAAATTTATTACAAAATTTTGATCGTCTTGCAAAACACTCGCAATCCGAGATTTGACTGTATTCAGAAATCCATGCTGCAGGTAATTGGACTAGATGATTGTGACTATGATTTTAAATATAAACATCCTGTATAATCTCATTACATAAAGGATATGAAAACAGACAATTTGTACAAAAATATGCTGATTGAAGGTAAACATTCACAGCTCTAAACATCTTCCTTAGATAAGCCCCAAATCTTTATAAATATTCCCATTCCTTACCAAGCGGGTTTTTCTTTAACCACCATAATGCATGATCCTCCTCCAGCCACTAGGTGGCACAGTGAGTTCTCGGTCCATGCTGGGGGATGCACTCACATCTCCTTGCCCACCGTATTGCACGTCACCGCAGATGGGCTGAGCGACAAGGGCTGCAGCTGTCTATTGCCAGCGTGCGTGAAGTTAGGCTTTGCTTTCCTGCTGACTGCAGGTGAGTCGGGACCCAGCAGGCTGCCCTCTCCACACGGCCTCCGTTCCACCCTGCCCCTCACAGGTCCAGAGGCCTGGCCGTTGGGCTCCCGGTGCTGCCCGTTCAGGTGCTCAGCCTGGACCAGGGGTTGCCGGTCCTCCTCCTCCGAGATAGCAAATACAGGCACACCCATGCTGGCCTGAGGCTCTGCCCCTGGATCCCTGGCCACCGGCTCGGGAGGGGCCGGCCTGGGGGCGAAGGGTCCGCCTTCCGACGACCCAGAGAAGAGCCCAAAGCATGGCGCTGTGAAGAGGGAGCGCCTTAGGTTGCTGCCAGAATTGAGCCGGCGTTGCCTCTGAGCCGGCAGAGCCAGTGGGTAGGAGGCGGAGCTCTCAGATGACTGGGTGTGGTTACAGGAGGCTCCACCCTCCAGGTGACCATCTGAGAACACCTTCCTGGCCTTGCTGCCATGACAGCCTGAGCTGGCTGAAGTCTGTGAGGAAACCACAAATGGTAAGGACGTGTCGAG